TTACCCCAGTGGTTTTTGGTATGTCCACAAAGTTGTGCAACTATCAACTATCTAATTCCAGAACATTTTCATCACCCAAAAAGAAACTGACACCCATTAGCCATCATTCCCATTCCCATTCATTCATTTCTAAGGCCTGGCTATGGTAACTTTGTAAGTTCAACAGCAGCGAACACATTAAAGAATACAACTTTAGAGAAACAAGATGCTGGAGAAGTGAAGTTCAATCTCCTGTAGGATCTGCTAGGAGCCTGAATCAACGAAAAGCTGAATAAAGGTCATGGCTTGTCAGGCTGACAATTTTCCCTCAGAGACTAAGGCAAAGCCACAATGCTTGATTAACTGAAGAGAATGGGTAGCTGTTACTCCGAACCCAGCTCTGCCCAATAAGGAGGAACTGGCAAGGAGAGAGCCAGCAGGCCCTGACAGCCAGGGAGACAAAGTCTGGATACAGGCAGCCATGTCCTTCAGACTTCATAAGAGCAGAAGTGACTCCAGGACATGAGGGATGGACTCACACATCATAACCCACTGGACACCAAAGAATATTTAGGACGCTAGGTTGAGAATTTATGACTCAGAAGACATATGATAACTGTTATCTAGTAACTGATAGGTTGTCACGAGACACTAGATTTGTTCTATGGAGTCCCAAGAGGCATAAGTGGGACTAATGAGTGGAAAACTATAGGAAGAGAGCAGTGTTTCAGATCATTACAGGGAAAGATTTCCTAACAGTCAAGCAATCTTAAGGCAGAATGAATTGCCTTTAAGAAAGTTCAAATGCAATCTGAACATTCAATAAGTGGATGCAGTGGAGGTAATTCAAAAACCAGAGTGTGATCTGACAACTGTGGCATTCCCACATGTGAGGGGTGAGGTCAGCTGTGAGGTATGCTGCAAGTGATCTGCTATGATAATAAAACACTGAGATTTAATGTAGATGATGGGGTGATGGATACAGCTAACCATCATGGCACGTGTACACCTATGTAACAAACCTGCACATGTACCTCAGAACTTAAAGAATAATTGAAAAAAAAAAAAAAAAAAAAACTGTGGCACATGATTTACTGCCTCTAGATTCTGGGTTATCACTATAACACCACTCCCATTCACTTACATTATTAAATATTTTCTTGAACAAAGGTGAAAAACTCCACATTGCTGGATAATGCTCATGGGAGTGTTCTCCTGAAGTGTGCTTTTAGGCTAAGAAAAGTGGAGAATTACCAGGTTGGATGACTAGTAAAATCCCTTCCAAGCTGAGATTTCATGAAGATAGGTGGCACCCCCTCCTCGGCCTTCAACCAAATTATGATCTATTGATAGACAGGTGGTCGCTGTGATTTGATGAATTGATCATTGGAGTGTCTCATCTGATAGACACTGGTAACAAGTCCTGGGAGTACATCTGAACTCTACCAAAAGGGAAAGTGAGGACTAGATATGTTATATTTGTCTGCTTTTCACAGAATGGTCATTCAAATAATTTTAATGAGACCACAGGAAAGTTAAACTTTACAGTTTCTTAAAAAAAAAAAAAAGCTACAAATAATATAAATAGGCCCAGAAAACACTATTTGTTTTTTGAAACATTAAATATTATTCCCCCTAAGCAAGAATTGACAGGAACTGGTAACTACCTCAACCTGAACTTAGCCAACCTCACCCCAATCCAAATTGGAATTGCCTTTCCCTTTTCAATTCCTTGGATGAATGGTCCTGGCAGAAACTGTTGTCACAAAGGCCAACTGTAGAAGTGCCACCATAAAACTGCTTGACTGACCAACTCAGGCCTTTTCAGAGTCTTCCCTGACTCCTTTTCCATGTCCTTCTTCTGCTGTTCTGCCAAACTACTTTGGAATGCAGGAAAAACTAAGCAGATGGAAGGTATCTGATCACCTGGTACAGCAGGCTACTGGGCAGCCTGTGATTTCCGGCACCTCATAATATTTTTTTATTACAAAATTTTTTTCATTATAAAACTATTATTGCCACATTATAAAAATTTGGAAACTAGAGAAAGTAAAAAAATCACTTATGATCCTATCATTCTAATAAAATCACCGCATTTTGGTGCATTGCTTCCTTTCCTCCAGGGTTCTTTGTATATAGTTCCATGGGCTGTATCTATTTAGCTTATTTACACATTCCTCAGCTCCTCTACAAAGAATCTAAAGTAACTAACATAAATATCATCAGACAGACAACTCCATGCCGACATACTCTCTCCCAAACCAGCCTGTACTCCTGATTCCCATTTCTAACTTATGGGTTCTAACTCCCGGTCAGCCAGGTTGAAACCCTGGCACCATCTTGGACTCCTCTCCCTCAACCCCAACATCCATTTCCATAGATTCTTCTGTCATTATCACTTTCTCACTTCTTTCCTTCCCACTCCAACCCCCCTACTGATTTCACTACCATCTAGTCCAGGTCCATAATTACTGCAATGCTTCTCTGACTCATTTCCTGGTCTCTACTTTCTCTCCCTTTCCTTGCAGTGCTAAATTATTTTCCTCTTTTTGAATGCTCTCTTGCTGAACAACATCCGCTTGGCTTTCCATTGTCTAACGAAGAAAAAACATTATTTGGTCTGAAAATTTGTCCCCAGTCTATCTTTCCTACCATATCTTTAACCACTTCCTCTATGAAACCTCTGCTGACACACTTGTACCCTAGACATAAAACCGCAGTGTATGCACTGAATGGGGCAGGATATGTGCCTGCTCCCTGGAGTCCCTGCAAGGTGCAGGGTTCCAGGCCAGCTGAGACAGAGGAACAGGTAGTAGATGTATCCTTCTGCTATTATCAACTATGAAACTGGACAAAATAAATGAAGCAATCATGTCCAAGCATTACACAAACAGCAGAACCTAGAGGGAAGGGAAATATGAGGAACGAGGTCCAAGTTCACCTGGCTTTCAGCCTAGGGGTACTCTTCATACTGTGGCTCAGGGAAGTGGCATCTACATGCCGGGCAGGTATGCCTAAGCCTCTGCATGCAGAGGAGACTGCTAAGAATGTAAGAAATCAAGCCAGTACTTGCTTTTTAAAGTGGGCTGCTTCAATTTTGGATTTTAAAAAGATATAATTTCTCTAAAATTTCCAGGGGACCTTTTCTTTCGTTATGCTTTATTTTTCTTTCAGTTTTCTTTAGTTGAAAATATTGAGGCTGGGCACAGTGGCTCATGCTTATAATCCCACGGTGGCTGGTGCTTTGGGAAGCCAAGGCGGGAAGATTGCTTGAGCTTGGGAGTTCAAGGCTGCAGTGAGCCACTGCATTCCAGCCTGGGCAACAGAGTAAGACCCTGCCTCTAAAAGTCAATCAATTAATTAATGAATTTTAAAAAAAGAAAAGAAACTGTTGAGCAATCTTGCCCATAGTTTCAAGGAAGATAAAAACAGTTTTAGGCAATGATGTCTTCTGTCTCTCAGCCTTCTGTCTACTAAACTTCGCTATCTATTATAGTAGAGAAGAGTTTACATACTGAACCTATGGAGTTCTGTGTCAGTGGGAGATATTAATATCTTTGCAATGTTTTAAAAGAGGTCACTGGGCCATCAACACTTGGTGGCAGACTGAAACTGCAAGGGTGGATATCCACATTGGGCAAATGTCAAAGGCCATGTTAGTGCCAAGGTCATCTCTGAGAATGACTGAAGCCAAGACAGTCACCCAGAAGCCATCCTAGAGAGGGGCAAGAAGTAGGTAAATACTAGAAGCAGCACATCTGGGGCATTAGAAAGGGAATTGGGGGGTGCTGGGCATGGTAGTTGACGCCTGTGATTCCAGCACTTTGGGAAGCTGAGGTAGATGGATCACTGGAGCCCGGGAGTTCAATACAAGCCTGGGCAACATGGTGAAACCCCATCTCTACCATAAATACAAGATATGAGAAAGGCTTGGTGGCACACACCTGTAGTCTCAGCTACTTGAGAGGCTGAGGCAGGAGGATCACCTGAGCTTCGGAGACTGAGACTGCACTGAG